TATTGCAAGTTGGCAATATTAGTTATAGAAAAACAAAAGTTTCATTTTGCAAAGTCGCATGGGTTCAAAAGTTGTTTCTGCTATAATTAAGGGAGAGAATGTTGTACTTCGTTTCCAATCTAAAAGCTCAAATCGAGAATTTTTAATTGAATTTAGTCAAGGATATATTTATTATTTTCATTCTCAAAGTTCGATTATGATTACGACATCCCTCTTCATAGTTTGAATTTTGAGAACACGGAAAATAAAAATATTATCGCAATATTATAGCAAGAAACTGGTAAAGTATCACGTTATTCATTATGAATCATATCTCACACGCTTTGGGTATAGGATCGATTGCATATGCTGTAATATTCGACCATTCTAAAATTTTCCAAATGCCTAGGGCGTTTAGAGGGAAAAAGGGAATAGAACCGGGGTTCACTAAAATAATTAAACAAATGTCAAGGACACTCTAAGATTTGCCAAGGATTGGTCGCTTGTGGACAGTTGAAAGTATAGTCATGAATGGACCATATTAACATTATTATGAATAGATAAGACTCTATTTATAATGAGTTGTCATATGACAAATATGGAAATGTTTCCTTATTGGGAGTTGGATGTTAAGAATCTTTGTCTAGATTAGAAACTTCTATGCAAGAAGGATGTTCAAAGGAATGTACTTTGAATGTGAGAATTCATGACTATGGAATTGTCTTGTAACAATCTCCAATAGAGCACTTTGTGATTTCATTGGCAAAGTCTTGGTGACTTTGGCGCTATGATATTACAAAAGGACCGTTGCATAAAATGTTAGAATCTAACATATTCTATAGGTGGCAAGAATTTGGTATTCTTACACTTATGGTAAGGATTGGAAATTGTGAAATAAATGTGATTGAAAACGTTATTCAGTTATACTATTTCACAAAGTAAGGACCATCGGTAAACAAAGTGTGCATGCTAAGAGCATGGGACAATTGTTGTTATAATTCAAGTAAGAAGTTGATTACCGAAACAACAAATAATGAGTAATCAATATGGTGATTAAATAAAATGTGTTTTATTTTTACTGAAAAGTTTGGGGCCATATAGGATTAGTATTATTCTTGTGGTTCACTTTGCATGTTTTGACTTCCCGAATAATAAGATTATTCAAACCCTCCACATTCACTCATTCTTTGGAAGTAGGAATGAATGAAGACTGTCATGAATCCATCTGTAGATTGACTAAAGCGTTTAGTCATAGCACAAGTTTGCTATAGAGTTCATGAGTGCTGCTATAAGATTAGATTATTGGATTAAACCCACGCTCACTTGATCGCTTCATGGATTTTATCACGAGTGATTGGTGAGACGATAATATCTTATATTCTTGAAACCGAGATGTGTGAGTTGTATCTTACGAGTCGGTTACACATTGATAATATGTAAACACACTAGTAACTTGGTGTTATAAAATATATTGTTGTGTGTGATTCAGTGAGTGAGTACAAGCGAGCATTGAGTCGAAGTTTATCCGTTCCTTTTACACAAAGTGGGATAAAAGAAATATATGTGGGCCCCTCGACGATTTAGTGATGACACCCTAAGCGCTTGGCTAAGTCGGGACTAAGTTGATGCGTTCAATTGTAGCTAGTCGTCATAAATCTAAAATCGGGAGACAACACATGAACAGAGAGTATGATTAAAATCCATGTCTCAGTTCATACGATATCTAGAATGGAGGAATATATGATCCCTTATCTAAAGGACAAGTTGCTGATAAGATCAGAGTTCGATAACGTCTTTGAGAGCTACGATTGCTAATCGGATTGTACTTACATTATAGTTACTAGACTTATCCAAGTGGGAGACTGTTGGATTAGTGTCTAAGCCCGTAAACTATATTTGGTATGTACTTGACCTGGTTGTGCATGGTCCTTTTGGGTTGCCTTCACCAAAGCAACTTTATAGGATGATTTATGGAGAAAGAGGATTAATTATGATTTATTAATATATTATATGAATAATATATTAAAGGAAAAATCATATTGTTTAATTAATATTAGTCAATAATTAATTGATAGTTAGTTTTGTGACTAAAAGACATTAATTAAACTTAGGGCACTGGAATTGTAATTATAAGATAATTGTAATTGGGCTATGGATCATCTTGTCACATAGGGTGGATGAATTCTATGGGAAGCCCATAAGGAATTCATCCAAGGGGTTTTCTAAAGGGAGTCCATGGGCTGCTTAGGGTCTAAGCAGTCAAATTAGGGTTTCCTAGTTGAAAACCCTAATAGCCTCACTATATAAAGATCCATATGGCCCCAAAAACGTGGTGAACTCTCTTGGAAGAACCCTAGGTCATTTTTGGTGCTCCTCCTCCTTCTCATAAGTCATTCTCTTTCTTGCGGTGTTTGTAAGCCATTAGAGGAGTGACATTTGTGACTCTAAGCTCCAAAGAAAGAAGATTGAATATATTCATGCCATTCTACAAGAGGTAATCATCTAGATCTGCTCTTATGTGATAATTTCGAAATGCATATGCTAGATTAGGGTTCCTGAGTCTTGGATGAATCGCATGTACAATAGAGAAACCTAGATCCAAGCTTTAGGGTTTGCATGAGCACATAGGATGTTCTTTTGTATAAAACCCATCAAATATGACTAATTATCTTGGTCACATCTCCTAATACTAATAATAAATAATGAACAACTAACATAATGATCATACAATTAGTGAACACATAACTAATTAAATATATTCAAACTATGAACGATATGATGTAGTGATTTCTTATCAATGGTCATGACAATCAATCAAAGCATAATATGGATATATAATACTATCTAACACAGTCAAAGTCACCGATTAATATGTAACTTACCCTAGGATATGGTCAACCTCTAGTCCTACCAGTTTAATGGTCATAAACTAATTAAGATGCAAGTTAATGTAATTAGATTGGTCATTTCAATCACATGAAACTCAGCAATAGGCAATAAAAATCATAATTTAACATAAAAGGTAAGACAATCAATTGAATACAAGTATTAACCAAACTCACATAATTCCAACTAACGAAATCAAAACATATTCAACTAGGGTTCATTAAGATCTAGTGAATGTAAAGGTTTTTACACCATATTTAATAAACTAAAGAAGAAAAACATCACCAAAAGATTGCTAGATATGATCATCAAGCAAACCTAAAGTGAAATCTCGATACGATAGCGATTGAATCCTCAAATCCTTGCTCCAATTCAATCTCTAGCTTCAAAATCGACCCTTAGAGGTTTTTTCGACTTCAAAACGAAGTGAAAGTTGCACTATATCCCCCAAAGGCTACATACCGATTAAGGTTGGAAATCTCATGTTTTCATAGATTCTTTGGCACCACGACATGGTCGAAATCTTTCCGCGTCGTGGGAGATGGAATCTTCCCGTCCACAATTTTTTTTCCCACACCGTAGAATCAACGGTTGGGGCGGTGGGAGGCATAGGGGAATGATGTGGTCGAGAGCCTGGTATTTTCGACAATGAATCTTCAATAAGATAGGCCTTGTGTGTTTCCCTTTCCCCATCTCCAAGGTGATGAGAATTCATATTTTTGATGTTTGATGCAACTATGATGTGGTATAGCTTAGGTTCGACAACCATGACTTGAGAATAAATAAAAAAAAGTAGATGGTATGGGGGAAGGAATGTCAATAGGAGGAGATCGACAAATGGAGATTGGAGAACAAGAACCATTTTGAATAGAGGTGGGGTAGTAGTCGACAAGAAAACTGCCATAGGTGGCAAGTAATTATTGAGGAAGAAGAGATGCCGGTTGACATAAAGTTTAGAGGTCCAGGTATTGACTTAATGGTTAGAGCCTAATTCCATGATCAATTGAAAATTTTGATGCCTTTCTCATTAACGTAATGCCAATATATATATACATACATAGGTTTTTTAGATAAGGAAAGTATTCCACAAACTAGCCTAACAATTATCTATAAGATACTAGGTGTGAGACTTATATATTACATGAGTTTATTTTAAAGAAAAATTAAATACAAAATTCTAAACATTTGAGAAGTATGAATTTATAAGAAAAGTGAGAAAATATTGAATTATAAAAATTAAAGTGTTTTTTTTTTCTGTTTTAAATTTAAACAAATAATTTAGATAAATAAATAAAGAAAATTAATAAATCTTTAATTTAGTAATTTGAAATTGGAAAGAAAGTTCATTAATGAAATTGATATGCATTTATTATTGTATTTAAATACTATTTAGAATTTAATAAAATGACAAAATCATAAAATGACATATGAAATAAACATTAATTTAAAATAACCAGAAAATTAAATGTGATAAAATAAATGAGAATGTGATATGTGACAAAAAAAAATATTTATTTATTGGGTCATGATTTTTCCACTGAAACTTTTTATTTATCCACAGAAATAATAGTGTAAAGACATTTATACCCTTCCATTCCATTAGTAATTATTGAAGAAACAGATACCCAACCTTATTCCACCCCTGTTGAACTTCCAATTTTCTAGATTTAATTTATTTTGCTTCTTCGTACACTGGTTTGCCTCCCTCCCATTGTAGATGTACCTGTGACTTGTTTCTCAGTTACCTAAAGGATAAAGTTCACATCTTTAGGTGTCTCTAATTCCTTGTATTTTCTCAATCCTTTTAATAGTTTTTTTGTATTTTGTGGTGTTTTGCCTTGTATTCTTCGATCTTTTATGTTCAAAATGATTATCAGAATAACTCTAGTCGAGATCAATAGAATAGCAACAATAGCAACAATGGAGGACTCGCTTATTTTGGCCTTTTCGATTCAATGAAACTACAACAATGGAAACCCAATAAGTTTTGGGAAGAATGAGAATTCTAAGGTTTGGTATGCTGTAAAATATTTATTGGATTCATTGTTGTTAAGAAATTCCTAAAACATCCCTATAAATATAACGCAAATAGGGTTTTTAAATGTTGTCTGAGAAGAAGAAAAAGAAGGTGATAATTATAAATGGACTTGAGGTTCTTGAAGAAACCTGCTTTCACTAAAAGAATTCGGGATTCTGCCGTTTAAATCGACGTAATGGAGATCAAGAATTTGTTGAAGTTCAACAGACCTACAACATACTCGCGGAGATGGATTCAAGATTTCAAGTTCGTCGGTCTTTCACTCTCCTCAATAATTATTACTTATTAATTAAATAGAGGGGTATATATGTTCAATGCACAATTTTTTCACTGTATGAATAAAAACTCCCAGTGAAAATATGATGATCCTTATTTATTTGGGAGGATATACAAAGATACATAATATATGTCTGATTAATACAAACATTAAACCATTATGGGAGCGTGTAATATTTTTTATAGGTAGCGAATCCATATGGAACCATTAATTTTGATCGTAGAAAATTGAAAAAAAAAAAAAAAACAAAACAAAAGGAAGTATCAAATATAATATCATATGGAACCATTAATCTTGATTATTACACCTAAAACGATCAGGAAAACAACCTCATGCCACATTATCAAACATTGGAAACATAGCAGGAGGACGTAACTCAAAGTCAACGTAGACATTTAGGTTATTAAATATCTCCTTAAATACACACAAATTACCATTTATTAGAATCTAAAGCCAAAATGGTACTTAGGTTCATGGGATTCATGTACTTAGTTGATCCCATCATAATCTGATCCACGATAATTCTGTTTGCCTTCTCCGATGGATGGAATGCATCCCAAAACGCATACTGGTCCCTGTTTGGACATAAGTTCGACATCGGGGTACAAAGTCCAATCCCATTGTAAGGCCCTTGTCCGCAACATGCTATTTTTGAAGTAACAAATCCTACACACAAATCATGAAAAAATATTTATTTGCAAACAACAATATCAACAATATTTTACTTAATTATTGGTTATTCATCAAAACTTGGTATTTTTTTATCTGGTAACTCACCATAAGCTCTTGGATTGCTCATAAAATCGTTGTGCATCTGCTTTGTGTTTACTCCGATAAACACATGACTGCCGAGTTCATTATTCAAACTAGTAAGCATATCGTCTAATTGTGGGTTGTACAACGATGAAGCCTTTTGAAGCTCAGCTGCGCATTCACCATTTCTGCTATGTTGAGCCAGTTCTGCCGGCACGCACCCCAATGGACCCGTTCCAGTCACGAGTACCTTGCGTGCACCCAAATCATAGAGCCTCTGCATTCAGTGAAAATGTATAAAGCTATTGCACCATATATGATGGATCGAATCTTCCAGCAACACCGAGGTTAAGGAGTAAAGAGAGAGATTCAACTGCATACCTTTAAAATCTTTTTGTATTCGGAGATGATGAAAGGAACGTAATTCTGGAGACTGTATTGACGGGAGCGTGCTGACATCGGGACTAAGTAATAATTGTTAACGAAGTCATTGCCACCAAGTGTCACGAGGACCAGCGCATCGTGTACGAGCTGCTTAGTCTTTTCAGCTCCTATAAGTGCACTAACTCGTTGTTGGTATTCTTTGAAGTACTCTAGTTGCAATGGAGCTCGGACTATGTTCACCTGAAGAAAACAATATCTGATATTAGTTAGCCATATACGAGTATGTGTAAAAGAACTAGTAATTAAACAAGTTAATGGAAAGTCGTACGAATTGGATTCCAGTGTCATTCAGTATTCCAATCCCGGCGGATGCAAAGTTGGCACCAATAAGAAGCTTTTGCCCGTTGAGCTCCGGACTCAAGTATGGCAGCGTTGGCTCGGATCCTATGCGCATACCTGTACATGGTTAACCATAATTACGTCAAGTAAACATTTGGAATGAGTTGAATGAAATGATAATTAGAACCGAAACTTAACTGATAAGGTCGGGAATGTTGTAGCCATTAGAGAAACGTCCAGTGGCTCGATGCGTAGGGTGATCAATGCCATAAGGAGGTGCATCAGCTCGGGCAGATGTTACCAGGTAATTGTTGTTGCCGCTGTCAACTAACGAGTCTCCAAACACGAAAAATGCACGTGGGTCAGCTTCGGCTCTAGGAGCAAAGACTTCTAATGCCAAGAAGATAAAAACGACCAGAAGACTTGAGAAACCCGAAGAAACAGCCATGAGCGATCGAATTCGTTTTTGAGACAAGATCGACTGTTTGTGGATATATGAAACAAGTGATGGGGTTTTATAGGGTTTTAGTAACGGTGAAAGAGTACAAATGCTTCAAGTTTGAGAAGTTCTCATGGTTTCAGTTAGTTGCAGAGAGATATGAGGCCAATAATGGTACTGAGAAGCAGGGAAACAAAGGTGGTTGAATTTTATTAAATTGGACAGTTGGTTTATTGGCTTTAGGTAATTATATATCATCAATCAATATGACATTTTAAGAAGTTGTATAATTCACCAAACCGAAGTTTTTTAATATTATACCGCAAATGTAGCTAGCTTCTCCAGTAGTTGGTGTAGTGGAAATTACATATTTACCCAAATTACTAAAAGTTGGAAATTTATTCTTGTTATATGCTGAACATACATCAAGAATCAAGTGACATAATTAGTTAGAACAGGCCTCGGATGATTATAGTCATGATTCAAGAAGATGCTGGTTTCGACCATTTGAAACTTTTGTGACGCATTCTTGTCATCGTAGTATAAAGCTCTAGGTAGCTGGCACATGCCACCACAAAGGACTGAAAGGGAACTTACAACACTCAAATTAATGTTCCTTTCATTGCTGTCAAAATTTATTACTATCACAAAAATTAACATAAACAAGTACATTTCCTGTTCTGTACGAATCCCAATGCAAATTTATCAATTGTTTCGATAGTAATTTTCACAAGATATAATGTTGATAAGATTATTTGATGCCAAGTCTCTAATTTTGTTTTATTGTCTTCGTATGAAAACCTTTTAAGTGTTTTTATTTTATTTTATTTATTTTATTTTACTTTTATTTTTTAAATATAGTTTTGTCCCAACATTATTTTATACGTTTAAAACAAAATTTAATTAGTCTTTTTTTTATAATCTCACAAAAGTATTTAAATTTGTCAAAAAAATTATAGTTTCATCTAAAATCTATTTTTATCTGTCCAGTATGCCAATATTTTGAAAGCTTTTGCCATATGTTTCAAACCCTTCACCTCCCGTCACCTTCCAACATAATATGCCAATGTCTTATCATGAGATGGAAGACTTTTCATGTACCTATTGTTGAATATCAATATATAATATGTATAATACTTCAAAAGTTTTTTTTTTTGAAAGAACATAATATTTACAAAGTTAAATAGTATTACTCTTATTATTATTGTTTATTATAAGTATTAATATCGATAATATTATTTTCATAATAATTATTATTATTAGAAAAAAAAAATGCAAGAATAGTCTCTGTAATACGTCAAAAATTGATATTTTGGTCCAAAAAGATTTTGACAAACAAGAATGGTCCAAAACTTTCATTATATTACGTTTTTGTCCAATTTATTTTAAATTTTTTTTATATTGACAATTTTACTCTTAGTTTTTTCTCTTCCAGTTTTTTTATTTAAATATTTTTTATTAAAAGAAAAATCAAAACAAAAATAAAATAGATACCTCTCTCTCTCTCTCTCTCTCTCTCTCTATATATATATATATATATATATATATATATATATATATATATATATATATATATATATATCCACCTTCATATTGAGCCAAATCAGCCCTACTATTCCCTTCATGATATACCCTTACCCTAAATCCAAAAGTTATCAAAATCCAAAGTAGAATAGGGAGCACCAATCAGATTTGATAACCACCGTCGTCAACACATGCTCCAAGTCGAAAGGAAACCAAAATCAAAGTTAAACCTATACTTATGGTTCTTGATTTATAATGAAAAATCGGCCATAAACAAATCCTAAATAAACCGGATGAAATCTCCATATATCCATCACACAATATATTATGATTTTAAGGAGAAGAAAGATTTTACATGTAAGGTTTAAGATGAAGAGTTTTTTATTTTATTTTATTTTATTTTTGAAAACAAAGCTCTGCCAGTGGATATGGTGGAGGAAGTGATGGTTAAATTCGAAGATCCTAAATGGGTTTCGTGGACTTGAAGCAGATGAGGTTTATAAAAAATAGATCGTGACAGATGAGGTTTGTCGATTTCTAGGCATATGGGTTAAAATCAGATGAAAATAGACGATGATCCTGATATTTAGAACATCAACACTAGAGTAGATTCGTGGGACTTTGAAGAATCTTGGTTTCTTTCAAGAGGTGAATCACGGAATCCATGTGATTGTTATGGAAGAGATGCTTCAAGGAGTTAGTAGATTTCACGAGCAAGATCTAACTACTGGTACAACAAAACATATGAATGGTGGATTTCTAATTAAAAGCGCTTCTACAAGATGAAAGTAGAGTACTCTAAATCCTTTATCAAAATCACTGTATTAATATTCCTTCAACACCTGATGCGCTTGCGATCAACACCAAAGATCTACAGAAAAGTATAAATTTTTTACTCTGAAAACCCAAAATCGGAGTCTAATGTTTTTTAGGGTTTCTTCATATTTTATCGAATGACAAAATCTGGAAAATTGTGTGTGTTCTTTTTAGGAGGAGGAAGTTTCTTTTAATTAGAAAAGCATTTAAAAAAATAAAAAAATTGAAAAAAATATAAAGTGCCAAACCGTCATTTTAAATATTTTTTAAAATAAATTTGACAAAATTCGCAACAAAATGAAAATTTTGGACCTCTTGTGCTAGTTCAAACTTGGTTGGACCAAAGAAACAATTTTCAGCTAACCACATGGACAATTCTTGCAATTTTGTCTTAATATTATTTTTATGAGTATATATATATATATATATATATATATATATATATATATATATATATATATATATATAAAGGTTTTGATGTATTTAAATGGTACTTATAATTTTTAAAATGTATTTATACCGTCAATTGTATATATTCATAATTGTTTGTTCTTGCATATACATTCTTATCCACTTAGGCCAGACTGAGTGGTAGCAATCTTAACACGTTGTAACATAAGATTTTTTTTTTAGTTTTTTTAACATATAAGATTGGCATGTCTAGCATAAAAATGGTAGGGTGTGAGTATGTGCTAATTTAATAGGTTTAATTTTAAGCGAAATATTTAAAAAAAAAGAATCAACCAACATCAAACAAAACAAAGTATTATATGTTTTGAAAATTTAGATTTTACATGAACTCTAAACAAAGTTTTCATGGTTTCTTGTTACTATATGTAATAAAGTCGAAATTATATATTTTGGAAAATATATTAACACATGATCCTTGAAATATCAAAATTATAATTGATTTTCTCTAACCGATAATTTTGACATAAAGTATAAATAAAATAAAAGAAATCAAACAATTTTCACAAGATATACATAATGCGTTACATAGGAAAATAATAATAATATAAATTTACATGAGAGATGCTACATGATATTTGAATTGTTAAATTAAATATAAATTTACATTAACAATTTCAATTACATATCATAGACAGATTACAGTTGTGACGACCCTCTACTAGTGAAGTTGTTGCCACAAGCCAGCAACAGTGTTTGGCATTGCTAGTGTATGCTTAGGAGCCCTTTGGCGAACTCGACTCCCTAAGGATTTAATTAATGTTACTCTACATAAATCTCATCTAAAACAATTTGAAAATAGAAAATAACTTTGAAAAAGAGAAAAGGGTGTAGTACATGCAATCAGCCAAGCTCAAGTAAGTATTCCCAAATTACCCATACACGTTTATGTTATGATATGTTTATGGGAACTACATGCTAGATTAGAGATAAAGATTTAGGAAGGATGCCTTATGTACCTGTTATATGTGTATCAACTTTATGAACTGCATGCTAGTACAAATTAGTCAGTATGATGGCCTGATTAGTATATGCTTGATTATGTTTACTCAATGCTCGAATGCTGCTTGCTTTGTGCTTTTAGGAGTTCTAGTTGTCTTTTACTAACTAGTAAACAAAAATGTTAAGTTACATACTGCGAGGACTAAATAATTTCATAAGGTTAGGTCTAGCTCTATTTCGCAGATCATGTTTGAGTCCAACCGTTGTAGGGTAGGATCTCTCATTCGAAGATTTATCTAGTCTTAGTGATATGTAATGGTATTGGCGAGCTAGTTAGGAGGAGATAACATGGAATTCTTATGCAACTGATGGTAGAGAGTGGTATGGTGATTACCCTAGGGCAAGCCTAGGATGAGAGTAGTGCTGGAAGCAATAGTAGTAGTGAAAAGGGACTTGGTATAGTCGAGGCAATCCTTGAGGAAAGTACGGATATATGTGGAAGGTAATATGGGCCGTACTACTGAAAGTAGAGGATCCATACTTAAGTGAAGGAGGGCTGAGATAAAACCAGGAAACTTGTAGTGAATGTGTGATCCCTCGATAGTGATACGTATTCTAATGGTTGTTATATTATGTTGCAGAATGGTGGTATTACGAGGTACACCAATGGACAGTTCAGGTGCCAGGGAGGGATCAGGCTCAGGCTCTGGAGCAGCGTAAATCGATGAGCAGATGAGGGAGTTTATTTCAGCTGAGATTATGCGCAATATTCTAAACCAGACTTTATGATCTTTGGTACAGTCAAGTAGGGAATCATGGAGATTTTGGATGAGAGATTGGGTGCGTTCCACACCGAGATGGCGGCCATGATGGGGGTGTGCACATTGACATTCAGGGAGTTCAGAGCTTGTGGAGCTCCTAATTACCATAGGGCTCGGGACCCTATTATGAGCAACATATGGTTGGCGGATGTCGCCAATGCATTTCGCACCAGTAGATGTCCTGAGGGGGACAAGGTCTGACTCGCCTCCTGTCTTCTGAAGGACAGAGTGCGTGATTGGTGGGAGGAGGTTGAACATGCTATTGTGGATGATGCCGCATTGGACGCGATGACATGAAGTGACTTTTCGGCTAGATTCAGGGCCGAGTTTGCACCAATTATTGAGGTGCATCAGTTAGCATGAGCGTTCCAGGAACTCCAGCAGACTACGGAGACAGTGGTGGAGATCACTACCAAGTTCAGAGAGAGAGCCCTCCTTGTTCTGCAGTATGTGGTGGACGAGGAGATAAAGAAGGCTTGGTACCACAAGATGCTGAGGAGCAACATTAGACAGTTTGTGAGCCAGTCTAGCTGCAAGACACTAGAGGATATGATCGCTTGATCTAAGGAGAGGGAGATTGACTTAGAGGCGGACAGGAAGAGGAAACCAGGTGAGGTTCAGACATTAGCAGGGTCAAGCAAGAAACCCAATGTCACAACTAACAAATTAGGGTTAAGATGTTGACCCTAGTACAAGATAACCTCCTTATGCAATCTTGCAACACTTCATTTAGTAAAATTCAAACTTTAATGCTATTAAGTTCATACTTTCGTACATCGTCATTCAAGTCGAAACAACCACGTATTAGCCCAAAACTCGATCCAATAAGCCCAATCAAATCATTTTTGGGCCTTAGCCCAATAATTGTTGGTCCAAACCTCTTATTGGACCAAGACTTCCTTATTGGGCCTTATTGAGCTGATAACTT